CCATACGAGTGTCTCTGGTTGGATAATTAGCACAACAGTATGTTGAATGTTTCTTTTTGCAGAACATACATGTCCCCCAGCCTACTGCACGTTTGGAAGTTACCGGTTTGGGTGAACTAGTAACAGTAGGCTTGGAGGTTGCTGCTGCATTGTCAGATTTTCTGCAACTTGATGTGAGAGTACTTGGTTGATGTTTATTTGGGGTAGTTGTTTTACCCTTTAATTGACTCTTATTTTCTATTTCTGAAGGCTTGCATGAGGCTTTAACTTCCTCATTTGCTCGTCGTTTGTTTATGATGGAATGTAAACCTTCAGTGATGTTCTGTACTGTCAGGATGGTGTTATGTTGATGTGCATATAATTCATCTAGTATATCGCTGGACAATTTTCGTTGAAGAACTACTTTGATCATCCATTCACTAGTAGTTATATCAACCTTAAGACTGAATGTTCTTAGTAGTGACTCAAACTCCATGCTGAAGGATTGTAATGAGTCAGCAGTCTGATCAGGTTGAGGTAAATCCAGCAATTGTAGTACTAGATGTATGACAGTTTTCTCATTGCCAGCATTATCCATACTGGCTAGTTGGTGAAGCCTTGTGGGGCTTGTACTTGGGCTGCTCATAATACTGAACAAGCACTGATGGTAGCCTAGGGTAAATTCTGCACTCACTAGGCAATAATCCTACCTCTACTAGAGGTTAGCACTTAAAATTAATACACATTATATATATACAATCATACACACTAATGATTTGAGTGATAAACCAGTGTCACTGGAAGTACCTTTAGGTTAGCTCTTCTATATCACCCTAGGATGGTAGAGACACTAATTAATCACTCAAAGGTGTAATGATCATAAGTAAATTATTATATATACAACTCAACTCGAGTTGATAAAAATTACACCCAAAATAGGGTCTGCACCATTCATTAATGGTGTTAGGTTGTTGAATATAGTACAACTGACTATGGTAATAATGGGACTAGGATAGCAATAATAGTTCAACTAGTCATATCCTACCCTGTTGTGGGTTGGCAATTAGTAAATATTATACTGTGATCACTAGTGCAATATATATTAAATAATTCTCTATTTTGAAGAAATAATATACACAATTATTGATAATAGCCTCTTAATTAGCCTCTATGAAACTTCTAATATTATCTAGAAGTATTAAATATTATTAGTGACCTCGCGAAATAAACTCCACAAAATTCGTGGATAATCTCTCGCGAAATTTAACACCACAAAATCCGTGAACAATCTTGCGAGGACACAGCCACTAATTTGGCTGGCTTCTATATTAGCGCTGTCATTTCACGAAATAACACGCCACCAAATCCTGTGGGTGTACATGAAACCGCTGACGAAGCTGATCTGAACTGAGCGGGGCTCGTGAACTCGCACGAGTCAACGCCGCCGTCATTGACTGCTGGCTTTGTTTAAATAACACTGCACTAGTATATTTAATGAATCCACTGGTTAACTGGTTCATCCGGTACTAAGATGACCAAATGTGGGTTCAAAGGATCAAATAATCCGTCATCCGGTTCGAAGGACCAAATAATGTGGGAACCGACCTGTGAGATTTATATTTAATTAATTTATATGAATTTATATTTACGTTAATTTATATACTTCGATAGCAATTTGTATAATGATAAGTGGACTGTATTTCTTCAATAATCTCTTAATCTCACAAATCGATCCTCTACACATTACGGGGGTTTATATTAATTGAATATATATGCAGCCAATCAAACTACAGTAATAGACTACATACATTGAAGAGGTTCCTTATCTTATAGTACAGCAGGCTAGTCCACCAGGTATAACTAGGGTGTAGACACCAAATTATCCTCTTTGAGGTAGCTTCCATCACCCAGTAACTGATGCACAAAGCATATGCTTCCTCGTCTTGACCTGTCAAAAGGGCGCTAACTGTGAAGCCAGATACCTATATATGACAAGCTATATCAGAGAAAATACTGTACATGGAACAATAAAGACCTGGCTTAATTACCTTTAGTTTGAGGCTATCACGTGCTCTAATCGGTTCACCCTATATAATGACATTAATGGCCATAAATGAAAATAAACGGGTTTCGGAAAGAACACTTAACTTGATTTGTTGACAGCGTGTTGAAAATGGTACACCCTTGGTTTCCATAACACTACGTCCAAGTAAAATTAACAGGAGCCGAATTTGCTCCCGAGAGCCTCTGGTCTAGTCTCAACAATGGCTGCGTCTAACACTCCATACTATTGACGCCTGGCCGACATTGTCCAGATATGATAGGAGCCGAATTTGCTCCACCGTCTCGGATGTGACACAACAATGGCTCCCCCCTTCCTCACTGACGCCTGGCTTACATTGTCCAGATGACGGAAAGTGATAGAAGGGTCACATTTACTCTACTTAAATATTGATAATTAAATTAATTTATATAAGATGTTTTTATGATGGTAAAGTCCAAAGACTAATGTATTTAAGAATAATTCCCACCATAATAGGTGGAGAATATAATAGTATGTGGTGATGATATCCCGTTTTCTTTAGATGGTAATTCCACTACAAGTTACGTTTTCTATGGGTAACTTGTTTATACAACACAGCTATTATCTGTATGATATATTAAATGGTGTCGGATTTTCCGACAAGCAGCGTGGCTGGGGGAGGCCAGGAGAGGAGGGCAGCGTGGCTGGGGGAGGCCAGGAGAGGAGGGCAGCGTGGCTGGGGGAGGCCAGGAGAGGAGGGCAGCGTGGCTGGGGGAGGCCAGGAGAGGAGGGCAGCGTGGCTGGGGGAGGCCAGGAGAGAAGGGCAGCGTGGCTGGGGGAGGCCAGGAGAGGAGGACAGCGTGGCTGGGGGAGGCCAGGAGAGGAGGGCAGCGTAGCTGGGGGAGGCCAGGAGAGGAGGGCAGCGTGGCTGGGGGAGGCCAGGAGAGGAGGGCAGCGTGGCTGGGGGAGGCCAGGAGAGGAGGGCAGCGTGGCTGGGGGAGGCCAGGAGAGGAGGGCAGCGTGGCTGGGGGAGGCCAGGAGAGGAGGGCAGCGTGGCTGGGGGAGGCCAGGAGAGAAGGGCAGCGTGGCTGGGGGAGGCCAGGAGAGGAGGACAGCGTGGCTGGGGGAGGCCAGGAGAGGAGGGCAGCGTAGCTGGGGGAGGCCAGGAGAGGAGGGCAGCGTGGCTGGGGGAGGGCAGCGTGGCTGGGGGAGGGCAGCGTGGCTGAGGGAGGGCAGCGTGGCTGGGGGAGGGCAGCGTGGCTGGGGGAGGGCAGCGTGGCTGGGGGAGGCCAGGAGAGGAGGGCAGCGTGGCTGGGGGAGGCCAGGAGAGGAGGGCAGCGTGGCTGGGGGAGGCCAGGAGAGGAGGGCAGCGTGGCTGGGGGAGGCCAGGAGAGGAGGGCAGCGTGGCTGGGGGAGGCCAGGAGAGGAGGGCAGCGTGGCTGGGGGAGGCCAGGAGAGGAGGGCAGCGTGGCTGGGGGAGGCCAGGAGAGGAGGGCAGCGTGGCTGGGGGAGGCCAGGAGAGGAGGGCAGCGTGGCTGGGGGAGGCCAGGAGAGGAGGGCAGCGTGGCTGGGGGAGGCCAGGAGAGGAGGGCAGCGTGGCTGGTGGAGGCCAGGAGAGGAGGGCAGCGTGGCTGGGGGAAGCCAGGAGAGGAGGGCAGCGTGGCTGGGGGAGGCCAGGAGAGGAGGGCAGCGTGGCTGGGGGAGGCCAGGAGAGGAGGGCAGCGTGGCTGGGGGAGGCCAGGAGAGGAGGGCAGCGTGGCTGGGGGAGGCCAGGAGAGGAGGGCAGCGTGGCTGGGGGAGGCCAGGAGAGGAGGGCAGCGTGGCTGGGGAGGCCAGGAGAGGAGGGCAGCGTGGCTGGGGGAGGCCAGGAGAGGAGGGCAGCGTGGCTGGTGGAGGCCAGGAGAGGAGGGCAGCGTGGCTGGGGGAGGCCAGGAGAGGAGGGCAGCGTGGCTGGGGGAGGCCAGGAGAGGAGGGCAGCGTGGCTGGGGGAGGGACAGGAGAGGAGGGCAGCGTGGCTGGGGGAGGCCAGGAGAGGAGGGCAGCGTGGCTGTGGGAGGCCAGGAGAGGAGGGCAGCGTGGCTGGGGGAGGGCCAGGAGAGGAGGGCAGCGTGGCTGGGGGTGGGCCAGGAGAGGAGGGCAGCGTGGCTGGGGGAGAGCCAGGAGAGGAGGGCAGCGTGGCTGGGGGAGGGCCAGGAGAGGAGGGCAGCGTGGCTGGGGGAGGCCAGGAGAGGAGGGCAGCGTGGCTGGGGGAGAGCCAGGAGAGGAGGGCAGCGTGGCTGTGGGAGGGCCAGGAGAGGAGGGCAGCGTGGCTGGGGGAGGCCAGGAGAGGAGGGCAGCGTGGCTGGGGGAGGGCCAGGAGAGGAGGGCAGCGTGGCTGGGGGAGGGCCAGGAGAGGAGGGCAGCGTGGCTGGGGGAGGCCAGGAGAGGAGGGCAGCGTGGCTGGGGGAGGCCAGGAGAGGAGGGCAGCGTGGCTGGCGGAGGGCTAGAGAGGAGGGCAGCGTGGCTGGGGGAGGCCAAGAGAGGAGGGCAGCGTGGCTGGGGGAGGCCAGGAGAGGAGGGCAGCGTGGCTGGGGGAGGCCAGGAGAGGAGAGCAGCGTGGCTGGGGGAGGCCAGGAGAGGAGGGCAGCGTGGCTGGGGGAGGCCAGGAGAGGAGGGCAGCGTGGCTGGGGGAGGGCTAGAGAGGAGGGCAGCGTGGCTGGGGGAGGCCAGGAGAGGAGGGCAGCGTGGCTGGGGGAGGGCTAGAGAGGAGGGCAGCGTGGCTGGGGGAGGCCAGGAGAGGAGGGCAGCGTGGCTGGGGAAGGCCAGGAGAGGAGGGCAGCGTGGCTGGGGGAGGCCAGGAGAGGAGGGCAGCGTGGCTGGGGAAGGCCAGGAGAGGAGGGCAGCGTGGCTGGGGGAGGCCAGGAGAGGAGGGCAGCGTGGCTGGGGAAGGCCAGGAGAGGAGGGCAGCGTGGCTGGGAGCTGTGATGGGGAAGGCTCGTCAGTGTTGTGCTGGGCGGGACTGCGGCCGGAGGTGAGCTGAGGCACTCTACCACCCTCCTCACTGGCCCGTGGCACCTCACACTGGCCCGTGGCCCCTCACACCGGCCCGTGGCCCCTCACACCGGCCCGTGGCACCTCACGGCCCAGGGCCACGTGCTCCATCAGTGCCTCCCTCACGTGCGCTCCTACCACGTGTGATTAGAAAAAAAATAATAGATGATAATGTAAATTACAAGTGAAAGCTTCGCTAAGCATGTCTCCGGCCGGCGCATTGAGGCGTGAGTGTGCGTGAGAGAGAGTGCGAGAGTGCAGAAGCTGGTGCGACGGAGGTGGAGGCGGAGAGCCAGGTAAATGAGCGGACAGGTAGCAAGCGGGTGTCAGCGGTGCACTATGGAGGTAGGCGGAGGAAGCGACCACCATCGCCTCGTACTCTGACACAACCAGCGCCACCATCTCCGTACGTCAACACCAATCTCCTGTATATTTCCCCCCCAGCGTCTGTTGTGTCACCCCCTCCAGGGCAACTCTGGCTGCTGGGTAGCGCCCCGCCGCGCTCACGTCATAACCTTGCGCCTCCAACTCTATAAGCTTCCCATCTAACTCACAACATGTGAAAAATAAGATAGATTTCATAGAACGACTGTCTTGAATGGAAACTTTTCCGTATAAAGCCTCAGTCAACATGTCAGCCCGTCTGCTGCATACGACACAGTAAACCCAACAATGTGCTGACAGAACTGTCCGTTAGTGCTCTTGTGTGCCTGGTCATGAGCGTAGGACGCGGTGACAGAGAGATAGATACGTCACTGATGGAAACTTCTCTCTTACTACCTTGGGGGAGGAGAAGCCATCATGGGGTACGGGGTGTCAGGGCTAATTCCTCCTCTCTACTGGCTCTGTCTCACTCTGCTCTCCAATCATTCTAATTGGAGAGCAGAGTAAATAGTGTTCTCTGATATTATCAATATTAGTATTGGATAGCAGGTAGATTTATATTGTAATTATTCTACCACTCTCATAGTTACCCATCTTTCTACTTATTAATTTACTACTACTTTGTTTACTAATCTACAAATAATAAAGTTATCTTTCTACCTGCTAATATACTATTGATATAGTGCCTTATCTTTTATAATAATTTTATTTTAATCTACTGAGCGAGGCACAGAGTGCCTGGCCAGCAGCGGCTGGAGGCAGCGAGTCGTGAAGCCACAGGCCGCCTCTAACACTCATCTTGCTACATCACTCCACTTGCTCTATCTCAAGGCTGTTTCACTATACATACTCTATCACAACCCTGCCTCACTCTACGCACTCCATCTCAATTCTGTCTCACTCTACTTAATCTATCTCAACTCTGAGGTAGATTGAGACTCATACTTTGTGCCAGCGGTCACAAGCTATCAGGAAGTGAATGGAAGCACTGTTGAAACACTATATTAAACACTATCAGGAAGCACTAGTGAATGCTATCCTGGCCGGCAACACTCATATGTACATATATACTTGCATTTTCACACACAACAATACATAGAAGCCTGAAGTCTACTCAACACAGGGCTGTTTCATAATCAAAATCCTGAACTCTATTAATGTGTCCATCTAAGCAAATGGCTACATATATTTTCTCTGTCTATCAGTCTATTAGTTTGAGTGTGTGTGTGTTAGTCTGCTTTACATGCACTTAAAGTAACGTAAATATATGGAGACAATGGGTCACAATAACGTGGCTGAAGGTGTCATGACCACACCACACATCAGAACATGAGGAGACGACGACGTGTCTTTGTTATCCTGTGTGTGGTTTGGTTATCATCGTCTGCCTGTAAATTCAGCAGTATTTATCTTCGGGTATAGATATATATTTATATTTAAAGCCTTTAAAGCAATATTTATCTTTAATATATCTTTAAAGCAATATTTATCTACGGGTATAGATATATATATATTTAAAGGCTTATGTATCAATATTCAAAATATACACATTTATTTAAATAGATCTATATTTCCTCTCTCTCTCTCTCTCTCTCTCTCTCTCTCTCTCTCTCTCTCTCTCTCTCTCTCTCTCTCTCTCTCTCTCTCTCTCTCTCTCTCTCTCTCTCTCTCTCTCTCTCTCTCTCTCTCTCTCTCTCTCTCTCTCTCTCTCTCTCTCTCTCTCTCTCTCTCTATATATATATATATATATATATATATATATATATATATATATATATATCAATATATATATATATATATATATATATATATATATATATATATATATATATATATATATATATATATATATACCACCTTCACACTGGCCAATCTTGAAACAGCCAAATGTAGTCTACGCCTCACCCTAGAAAAAAAAATTAGGTAACACTATTCTTGACTAAGTAGTTAGGAACGTCTGATCCTTACCTTTTCTAGTTGAATAAGATTTGGCTAAGACTTGACCTACTCTAGCATCTAGCAGAGTTTCAATAATGTCTTAAAACCTAGCCTATCTATGTAAAATTAAATTCAGTCCTCTTATCCCAGTCTTACTGAGTTAATTTAGCCTCTTTATCCAGTCTTACTGAGTTAATTTAGTCCCCTTATTTAGTCTCTCTCTTACTGAAATAAATTTAATTCAATCCCGTTCTCCAGCCCTTCTGAGAATTCAGTCCCCTTATCCAGTCTGAGGTAAATTCCGTTCCTCTATCATCCTTCCCACTCATGGCAAGAGGCACGAGTTAAACCCAGACAAGGCCTCTCACTCTGGCCTCATCCTGGCCACTTCAAGGTCTAAATTACGGGAGTCGGTTTCTCCTAAAAGTAAACCAACTATTTCCCAAGCCGTTCTTATCAGCCACTGGTCTTTGCTGTTACTCTCAGCCCAGGATAATCTCTACTAGACCTCGACTGTTATTAAGAGGCAAAGAGCCGTATCTACCAGCCAGAGTTGCCCAACGAGGTCATGTTTACAGTTTCTATTGTTTCATATATTTATGATAATTGACTGAGTGTGTGTGTGTCTTTTGTTTTTGCAACTGGCAGAGGGAATCACAGGAGTGTTTATGTAAAGAGAGAGATGTTCTCAGGGTCTGGTGGAGATTGCAAAAATCTACATAAATCTATATACACACAGAAATAACAATAGCGTGATGAATCAAATGAACAAATACACAATGGCCGTTATCTTGAGATTATCTTGAGATGATTTCTGGGCTAAGCGTTCCCGCGGCCCGGTCCTCGACCAGGCCTCCTTTTTTGTTATACAACCACTAGGAAGCAGCCCGTAGCAGGTGTCTAATTCCCAGGTATCTATTTACTGCTAGGTAACAGAGGCATCAGGGTGAGAGAAACATTTTGCCCATTTGTCTCCGCCTCCACCGGGGATCGAACCCGGAACCTCAGGACTATGAATTCGAAGCGCTGTCCATCCAGCTGTCAGGCGTCCTATGATATGACGAGGATTCGAACCTACGTCCGAGAGGATCTCAGACACACCTTAATCGAGCGCGCCAAGACATGGCAAAAAGAAATGCAACCGGGAGTGCAACTGCCCTCACACGGATCCTGCAGTCTCTCCCACTGCAAAAGAAGTCTCCTCCTTTACCATGTCGTGGCTCAGTCGATTAAGGCACGTCTGAGATTCTCTCGGACGCAGGTTCGAACCCTCATCACGGCCCTTGTGGATTTGTTAAATCTATATAGTTACGTTTGGACAGAATATAATCGTCCTCACCTTCCTTCTGCACCATCACCTTCCCAACCATGTTCAACGCGCCAATCACCTTACATAGTGCAACATGTATCAACATAGCCAATTCACACACTATATCACATACCAACATAGCCACCCACTATGCACAATGCCACATGTACCAACATAGTCAACACACACACTCTGTAGTATGGGCCAACATAGTCAACACACTGTAGTGTAGCATGTGCCAACATATTCAACATACTGCTCCATGTGTCAACATAGTCAACACCTGAACATAAAGAGATGATGTTCAACTCATCCCACGGGACGAGTCGTAACAAAGGAGGCTGCTGTGCCAATCACAGTCAAAGGTAAGATGACATAAGAAGTGTGTGAAGACCTCGTTAAGGACCACTGTGTTATTGTATGGTAGCTGGACGTATCTCTCATCTAAAGTTCCGACATTACCCTCGTGAAACCATCCCATAGCAAATTGGACCATATTTCAACCAACGTTAAAGTATTTCGACTGACTTTTGGCCCTATTTCAACAAACAAATGCCATTTAAACAAATAATAGACCCTATTTTAACATTGTTTTAAATAATAGTATCAGAGTTGGAAAGTCATATGACAACCTAAATAGGATTAAAGAAGACTGAAACAATGAAACATTGTTTTGTTTCATTGTCGCCAATGAAACAACACAGAGCTGCTTTGAGAAACACACACACAACACCACTCAGTTAGCAGAGTGACTGAAGATAGCCAAGACTAGAAGCGAGTAAATCAAAGATACACTTCTTGGGTAGTTAGGCACCATGTCTGAAGAACAGCTGAGACACACACACACACAGTAAGCCAGGGTCGTCCAGTGCCAGGATAAACACGACACCACAATAACACAATACATGTATCGTGGACGACCAACTGGACATTCACTCAACCAATACTCAAAAGTGTATACTGACAGATGCAGTCTAATAATATATATATATACAGAAATATTAATACAAAAAATGTACACACCATCGTCATCAGAACTAACATCACCACCACAACCACCACTACCACCACAGCCACCACCATTACCACCACTACCACCACAGCCACCACCATTACCACCAACAGCCGACTTATCAATGTTTACACACACACCTTGGCCGAAATGGCCATCTCCTTATACCGCCTCCTTACCCCCTATCTTGGTCCCTGACTGCTGCCTCTCCTACCCCAAAGTAGGTGGTAAATTAGAGGAAGGGGTGACGACGTAACGTGGGGGAAGTTGGTCTAAATTGGGAAAATTATAATATGTTACAATACACATGTGTTAAGTGAAGGAGATTAATGGCCAACATTATTCATCGTTGAAGCAAAAATAAAATACATAAATAAATTAAAAAAAATAAAATTGTAGTGAAATATTGAAATATTTTTTTAAAGAAGAAATTGACAAAGTGACTGATAAAGTTGTGGCACGTTTGGGACCAGATCCGGTAAAGCCGCAGTAAGTTGCGGTCAAGTTGGGTTAAGTTTACGGTTAAGTGGTGATCAGGTGTTGACCGAGGCGTTCTCAAGCCGTCGACTGCACCAAAGTTTCGGTCATTCGAACCTTGAAGTTATTCACTAATATTATTAATACTGATTCTGTGGCGTTGGTATCATCTTTATGTTGTTATCTGTATAATGTATTTTATATCTGTATAATGATCTGTATAGTGTATAGTGATCTGTATAATGTATCTCTCTTTTAAATGATCAACATTTCACACTATGATTAA